ACTCCCACCTAGTTTAATATCCAATTTTATCTTCATTTTATTTTTTATATTTATTTGTTTTTGTCAAAATAATTTTTATAGTTATTTATATGATTTATAAAATATTTTAAAAAAAAGATAACACTCATTTATTATAAATAATTAATTTAAATAATATTTTTAATATTTATAAATTAGTTATATAACTCAAATTAATAGTATTACCTCCGGCCTTTAATATAAGATTTTGTTTAATTTTTATTTTGATTCTAAATATAAGACCCTGATTTACTTTGTTTCTTATATTTATGTATTCTTTTTCAAGATAGTTTTTTTAATAATAGTAGTTCTGATCAATATACTTGATTAGCAAAGATATTTTAAGAAAGACAATATATACTTATTATAAATAATTAACTTAACTTATTTTTTTAACATTTTTAAATTAGTTAATTAATTTTTATAATTAGAACAGGAGGTAGTATTATTTTAAGATGTTTTTAAATGAGATCATGGTTTATGAGTTGGAGGTTTTTATTTTTAAAAAAAAAAGTTAAAACGACCAAATTATAAGCCTACGTAAAAAGCGCAGGGGTGACGCGTCTTGCGGCAGGTATGAAGTGTTAGCCACGTCAACACGCACCACCCGACCATTGGTTCGTGCTTCCGAGGACCATGGGTTGATCCGGTCGCGAAGTATAGAATAATTTCCCCATTTCTATGAGGTACAAGAAACAGATATATGGATAGTGTTACATTATCCGCCGCCTCTGTTTCTCCCTGTCTAAACCGAGAGAGAGAGCAACAAACAATTAATACACCACAAAACAACAACGCTATTTCTGTCCGTGCCAACCCATTCTCCATTTCTGTATCGGATCATGTGTTTTTGATCACCTGTTGCCGATACTCTGAAGCTCAAGCCTAGTTTGTGAGTCTGTTTGATCGGAATTTGGCTGAATCAGAAGCCGTCAATATGACTCGGCGATGTTCTCATTGCAGCCACAATGGCCATAACTCAAGGACTTGCCCGCACCGCGGTGTTAAGCTCTTTGGAGTTCGATTGACCGATGGCTCGATCCGGAAGAGTGCAAGTCTGAGTAGTCTCAGCCACTATGCTGGGTCGAGCTCCGGAGCTCATCATGCTGGGTCCGTCAATCCGGGTTCGCCCGGTGACACGCCTGATCATGGTGCTGCACCCGACGGTTACGCCTCCGAGGATTTTGTTCCTGGGTCATCATCAGTTTCCCGGGAGAGGAAGAAGGGTTCGAATTCGAATCTATAAACATTTTTTTTGGTTTTTGTCCCACTCAATTTGTTTCATTTTCTTTTGTCTTGTTGATGGACTCTGGTTCGAAAGTATTCTTTTAAAGTCCTTAGCTTCTTCTGAGCTCATCGATCAAGTAATGGAAAAGGAATATTTCAACTGATAATCTTGTGTTTTGAGTTCTATCTGCATTTACTTTCGTGATACATGTTTAGTTTTGCTTGCTCTGTCGATTGACAGTATATCAATGTGTGACTTGGAATTTCTTCTTTATGGTGGTAGTATTGAAAATTACTGGACCACGAAGTTGAATAAATTTCTGAGGTTATTGTCTTCTGATGCTTGAATCCATAGAATGCTAGTATAGCATGCTTAGCTGCTTGGTTTCTAAAATTTAACAAAATTGGATGTTAGACAGTCGGCAGCAGCTGCTAGTGGTTATGAAAGGTTCCGATTATCATCATCAAAGAGGAGGCTATGTTCTCACTGACCATGGAAAAAAATAATTCATGAACCTCAATTTCTATTTTTTCCATTGGTCACTTTAGATGCTGAGATGATTTTAAACAGTAATTTAGGAAACGTAGATTGAAATTTAGTGAATGGCATCTGATACCCACATAAATGCTAGGGTAGAGCGTGAATTTAATTTTCACTGTTAATGTGCTTGCATTTGCATAGTCAGATAATGTCTTTATCAATATGCCCCCTCTTCTTCCCCCAAAAAATTGTAAAAAATAAGGTTCTTGTAAACTCCATCCTCTGGCATTGTTCATGATGATTTTCAGTAGATCTGTCAATTTTTTGTATACTAAAGACAAGAAACAGAAATCCATTGATTTATTGTGCATATTGAATTTTTGTTTGATTGATCTGGTAGCTTCTTTTATGCAGGTGTTCCTTGGACTGAGGAGGAGCATAGATTGTTCTTACTTGGATTGCAGAAGCTTGGCAAAGGTGATTGGCGCGGAATTGCCCGTAATTATGTTATATCAAGGACACCAACTCAAGTAGCAAGCCATGCTCAGAAATATTTCATCAGGCAGAGCAACGTATCTAGGAGGAAAAGACGTTCAAGTCTGTTTGACATTGTTGCTGATGAAGTTAGTATCCATGTTTAAACCCTAATATATGCATGATGGAAATGATGTCTCATAACCTATTTGATGGCCATTCATAAGAAAATCTGGAACCCCCCCCCCCCCCCCCCGGGCTTTCAATTCCTCTTGACACGTTAGTCCCCTTCTACACTCTATGGTGAAGAAGATAAGCAAGTGCTGCACATAGATAGTCAATTGTCATATTTTAAAACTGTTCGTTTCCAATCTTCTTGTGCTGAAGGGCTGATAATATCTTTAGATCGACTCACTTTTCTCATCATGCATGTTTCTGTTATTAATATAATCATACATTTTTGGGTAATTTGGAGATAAATATTGTATTTTCCTTGTATTAAATTATTAATATCCGTGATTAAAATAATTAAGTTTCACCCTCATTCCTTGGTGCTTTCTCTTCTAGATTTCATATACATTTTGTTGCCATTTTTTGGTTGCAGACTGCTGATACACCAATGGCAGAACAAGACTTCTTGCCGCCTTGTCAGCCAGAGGCCGAAACAGAAGGCAATGATCCCCTGTCAGCTCCCCCAGCCATTGATGAAGAGTGTGAATCCATGGATTCCGATAATTCAAATGATGGAGACTCTGCCTCTTTAAAGCCAGATAGCTCACAGTCATACTCGCAATTCCCAGTGATATATCCTGCTTACTTTTCTCCTTTCTCCCCATTTCCTTTGCCTTATTGGTCTGGATACAGTCCAGAGCCCACCAAGAAGGAGACAGTACATGAAGTGCTGAAGCCTACTGCAGTACATTCTAAAAGCCCCATCAATGTTGATGAATTGGTTGGCATGTCAAAACTCAGTTTAGGGGACTCTATCGGTGACTCTGGCCCTTCCTCTCTTTCATTAAAACTCCTCAAGGGGCCCTCTCGGCAATCAGCTTTTCATGTAACTCCCTCATATGGTAATTCAGACATGAATGGCAATGCAATCCCTGCAGTTTAAGGAAATCTTCTGGCGAGTTAACTTCAGGCTAGCTCAGTAATGTCACGATTATCTACAAATACGGGGTTCAGAACTTAGCTCTTGTGTTAGCCACGTATATTTGGTTGCGATAGCAGCATAGTTCTCTTCCTTTTTCACATTAATTATTAACTTGTTTCTTTTCTGGTAGGCTGTAGCAACTAGGAATTGTTTGGGTCTAAAACTTGTTATTTGTCAAGTTATCAATTACTTATTATTTATTTATTCCCTATAGCATAAGAGTCAAAAGTTGGTTCTGCAGTATGGCATCCTTCGAAGTAGTTGTTTCTTTTTTTCCTCCTTTCTTCCTTCCTTCTAGCTTTGGAATGAAAGAAGAGATCCTAATTTTTTGTTCTCCTAAACCCCGAGTTAATCAAGCATCCAAACTCTCTTAAAGTTTAACTCGTGGAGGCTGGTTGGCCCTAAGATTAATAAACTGAATTTGACCCAAAAAAATGAACCGAATGAAAGTAAGCTTTTTTGGGGAGAATTTTTTGGCTAATAAGCTTTTGAGAGAATAAACGCTACTATTTAACTATGAAGCATGGAAATAATCGATCAATCGATCTTGGGAACGGGTTTTGTGCCCGGCCTTTTCTCTATCCTCTCTAGAGGGTGATGTTTCGTAGCTACCTAGAGCTCATCATCGCCTCCGCCTTCGCTTGTCCGGGTTCTGATGTGACGTCGCGGAGTTTTTTGTTGATTCCGTCACAAACGATCATGTTTTGACAAAAAACAAATCGCGTAAAAAATTTGAATTTTTATAATACTGCTTTCAGTTCTAAATATAAGATTCTTTTGCAGTCAATTTGCACCTCAAATTAATCTTATACTCCTCCGGTCTTTATTATAAGACCCCATTTGACTTTTTATTTGGTCATAATTATAAGACCCCAATCCATTTTGTCTCTTATATTTATGCATTTTTTTCCAAGATAATCCTTCTAATAATGATAGTTTTAGCCAATATACTTAATTAACAAGGATATTTTAGGAATGATAACACTTATTTATTATAAATAACCAACTTAACTTACTTCCTTAATCTCCTCAAATAAATCAATTAGGTCTTATAATTAGGATCGGAGGAGTATTTAAGATTCGTGGTAACACGGAGGGAAAGGGGAAAAGAAAAGCTATAGGTCATCGATGAGAGTCTCTGTTATAATCTTTAACAAATTGCAAACTATTTTTCTTTTTGTCGTATCTTGTGGTCAAAACTATGGGCGCAATAAGGCGAGTGAGTGAAAGGGCATGGAGCTTCTCTCCACTTCATACAAAATAAAGCTTCTACGGCCAGACAGATTAAAATTTGAACCCTTTTAATCAAAAGCGACAACCAAATCCGCGTAATCACGACAGAGCCGATAGATAAATTAAAGTTGAAGCTTTAAGAAAAGACAAGAAACGAATGAAAATCCATTCCCATTTGTCTATTATTACAACGTACAGAAGGTCGGATCTGCGAAGAGGCCGCCAATGCAGCCTTGTTGGAGATCAAGGCTCGAGCTTTCCCCCCAGACTCGTGCTTTCCCACCAAACCCCTGCACGGCAACTTATTAATCAATTAATATAATTATTAATTTCAATCAATATTTATCACCAGGACGCACCGTCCTCCTTACAGGTGTCAGTTCAAAATTCAGATCTAGGAATTTTATATAATTTCTACATTAAATTAGGCCGAGTGTGTCGCTGTCGGTCTTGAACGAAGCTGGTATAAAAAATTCGGGTTTTGATTGTAAAAGACCAGCGTTGGACATTGTGTTCGTTTCGTTTCCGAGAATGGAAGGTGTTGATTACTTGGCTCCCGAGAGGAACAAAGCTCAATTCGATGTCGAAGAGATGAAAATCGTCTGGGCTGGTTCCCGCGAAGCTTTTGAAGTTTCTGATCGAATGGCTCGCCTTGTTGCCAGCGATCCGGTGAATGATTATCCTTTACACTGTTAATTGTTACTTTTCTTTTGAACAAATTTCCGACGTGTCTATACTTGGACAAATTATGAATTTTTTTAATAAAAAGAATTTGCTTTATTAAAAGACGAAAATTTGATTCTCGATTTGATATTGGCTTTCGATGGTCGGTAATTTCGTTACCTCCGGTTCCTGAAAGTTTAAATTGAAGATTTTGAGCTATTAGACTCAATGTGCCTCCAAATCAACGTGTTTTAGCCTTTCTTTCTGTTGGATGTGTCTCCCAATGAGAACTAAACTATTAGTTAGTTAAGGATCACAAACTGCTGCACAGCACCAGTATGTAAAGTATTTTGATACTAATTCATGTTTTCTTCTTCGAATAGGCATAGTAATAGACGTTATTTTGACTTCTGCAAGTACCTATAACCTTGATTACTTGTCTGTTCTCTCTAGATATTCAGAAAGGACAATAGGCCCATGCTTGGCAGAAAAGAATTATTTAAGAACACTTTGAGGAAAGCAGCTCATGCATGGAAAAGGATAATTGAGCTTCGCCTCACTGGTGAGCCTGTTGATCTTTTTGTCGTTTGCATTTGGTTTCCAAGCTTTTAATTTTCTTCTAAGGAAGGCAATTCGTTGCCCATTGCAATTTCTATATATCATGCTTTATAACCATGAAAGTTGTATTCTTGCAGAAGAGGAAGCTTCTAGACTTAGATTCTATGTGGATGAACCTGCATTTACGGATCTTCATTGGGTATAATTCAAGTTGTTTTCCTGTTGGAATTCCTTTTTTACGTACTCTATCTATCCTTAAAGGAATATGTGGGTCAAAGGGGTGATGCTAGTCTAAGGATTTCACATAAATAAATTGACCTCTTTTTCACTTGTCGTGATGTGCATTTGAGGCCACTTCAACTGCTTCTACTAAGTTTCAGGTAATTATATTATCTTGCAGGGAATGTTTATCCCAGCTATAAAGGGACAAGGAACCGAGGAGCAGCAACAGAAATGGTTGCCTTTGGCTTATAAGATGCAAATAATTGGTTGCTATGCCCAAACTGAACTTGGTCATGGATCCAATGTTCAAGGGCTCGAAACAACTGCAACCTTTGATCCTCAAACAGACGAGTTTGTGATTAATAGCCCCACACTGACTTCTAGCAAAGTGAGTAAACGGGATAATGACTGAGGAGAGCTTTTATCTATCATTTAGGAAATGTTATGATTTGAGATTCTATGATCTTATAATGTTACCGGATGCATTCATGGATACAACAAGGAAAAGATATCACACCATTTTTTCATTAGTTCACTATGGGCACTGGTTATTTAGGCTATTTGTCTAACATGCTGTGTTTTGGACAGTTATAAGATTTTGTCATCACTCCTTTTCCCCCTGATTTTTATGCAGTGGTGGCCTGGTGGGTTGGGTAAAGTTTCCACACATGCTGTTGTCTATGCCCGTCTAATCACTGATGGCCAAGACCAAGGAGTGCATGGTAACTAACGTATTTGAATGATAAATATTTGGTGTTAGATTTATATTTCTAATAATCAACTAAGCATGCAATATGTAGGTTTCATTGTCCAGCTGCGGAGTTTGGATGATCACTTACCTCTTCCCGGTATAACTATTGGTGATATTGGAATGAAATTTGGAAATGGGGCGTACAACTCGATGGATAATGGGGTTCTAAGATTTGATAATGTAAGAATTCCAAGGAATCAAATGTTGATGAGGTTAGCGGTTTTCTTTTCATTTTTTTTTAAACGATCTGTCATTATTGTCTTTGAATCAACCATCGTAGACAGATAAGTGGAAACAGCTCATTTTAAAATTTATATTTTTTGAGAGCATTGCTCTGGTGCCTGCTCTTACAATATGTTTGTAGAAGAAGAAGATTGCCTGGGAATTGTTAAATCCCGGGTATTCAAATCCTGAAAATGCTTAATTTTTAATATATGTATATGTGTGTATATATATATATATATATATATATTTTGTCGAGCACAATTTGATACTTTTTGAATCCACCAGGGTTTTACAGGTTACAAGAGAAGGAAAATGTGTCCAATCTAACGTTCCACGGCAATTAGTTTATGGTACGATGGTATATGTGAGACAGTCAATTGTGTCTGATGCATCCTGTGCTTTGTCACGAGCAGTTTGTATTGCTACAAGATATAGTGCTGTTCGAAGACAGTTTGGCTCTCATAATGGAGGTCTTGAAACACAGGTCAGACTTTGAACTTTCCGAAAGTGTTAGGTTGTTCGGGTGTTCACATCATAAGGAGTATAGTTAAATATTTTTATTTTAGGTCCATCAGAATTTTCTTAAGCAACAACAATGGTGATGAATATAGGTTCACTGGATTGAATTATAACATGACCTGATTCTTTTTCCTTATGAACTTGCTCCTTATTGGCTATGTATTTCAATATCTCATTGCCTAGGTTCCGGGAAATCTTGCTTTCCACTAATGTATTCTGTCCTCATTTTATGTAATTAGTAATTAATAATCATAACGGGAAAGCTGATGTAGTTCCCAGTGATCTTTTACACGAACACATTGGTCAGGTTTTGTAAGATCACTGGTTCAGTTGGTGATGCCTTTATTTTTGTGCCGATGGTTTTTTGACATCTGTATCTTTATTACTTGTGGGTCTTACTCTTTACTACTTGTTTTTTATAGGTGATTGATTACAAAACTCAGCAAGCTAGGCTCTTCCCGTTGCTAGCTTCTGCATATGCTTTCAGATTCGTTGGTGAATGGTTGAAATGGCTATATATGGATGTGACCCGAAGATTGCAGGCCAGTGATTTTTCAACATTGCCTGAGGCTCATGCATGTACTGCAGGATTGAAGTCCTTGACCACATCAGCTACTTCAGTATGTAACCATTTATCATTCTTCACCACTCTATCAAATGATTTTAGTCGCTTAGTCTAATTATTCTGCTTCTTTAGATGGCATGTGAAATATGAATATTTATATACCATCTGGGAGTATCTTTATGTATGTGCGTACATGTTTAATGGTATACAATCCTACAGTGAACTTTTCACTGGTGATGCTGGTAGTTAAGTTTCTGTTTTTTCTTGTCTTCTAATCATTTTAGGGCCTCCTCAATGAGTTGCTGCGCATCCCCCCCTGGAGCGGGTGCTTCATGCGATTTTTTGACTGTGCTTTTCTCATTATGAAGTTGTTTAAAGTTTGCTGCAATACAGTACTTATAATTTAATATCATTAATCTATATCTATCTTGTTATTTGTGGAATAATTAACTGGATTACTAATCTTCAGTTTAGAAGGTCCATTCCTCTCTGGTATTATCTTCGTGCTTTTGTCTTCAGTAGTGTTTGACACTTGACCTTGTTGAATTCATTCTTGTTCAAATAAGCTAAAACGCAGTTCCCCTTTGCAGGATGGGATTGAAGAATGCCGAAAACTATGTGGTGGCCATGGTTACCTTTGTAGCAGTGGCCTTCCTGAGTTATTTGCAGTATACGTTCCTACCTGCACTTATGAAGGAGACAACGTTGTGCTGCTTTTACAGGTTTCTTAATTTATATTGTGTTATCATATTTTGTCCCATTAGTTAATAGACTAGGTATCAAGCACGTCTTCAGTTTACTATGAAATTTGAACTGCAGTATGACACAATATGGAATTTTATTTTCTTACATTGGGTGTGGCAATGACATTTGTTATACTGATGTGGTGCTTTTAGTTTTTGTAGGACAGGTCATAGCTGTAGTATTTTACAACATTTAAACGTCATAAAAGCATTAGGAACATCCGAACATGTAAACCAAACCCTCTTTTTAATAATTTTATACTCCTGTTTGGTCTTTGTCTTCATTCTATGACTTCTCATTTCAGTGATCATTTTTGACGCTGATGCAGTCAGATTTTGGTGTGTTATTGGGTTAAATTCACTAAAGGTTGGTCTGTCAGTGTTTGACGTTCTCTTAGAAAATCTTTTGCAGGTAGCAAGGCATCTCATGAAGCCTACCTCTCAGCTGGGCTCTGGGAAAAAGCCTGTTGGTACCACTGCTTATATGGGTCGAGTGGAACATCTGATGCAATGTCGTTCTGATGTTCAGAAAGGTATAAGTCTATATTAAAATTTGATTAACTGAGATTGTATCGGTTACTGTGATAAATTTTGTCCTTAACTTCTGGTTGATGACAGCTGAGGATTGGTTGAAGCCTAATGTAGTGCTGGAAGCATTTGAAGCTAGGGCTGCTAGGATGTCTGTTGGCTGCGCTCAAGCTCTTAGCAAGTTTACCAATCCGGAAGAAGGTACATGCTTCATTATTGCCTCTGAGCATAAACATCTTCATTGGGGAAGATAGATGTATGTGTATGTAGTTTCCGGAGATCAAAAGAACGTGATTAAACATTACAATGATTGATGCTAAGAGTTTTCTGGACGCAGGTTTTCAACAACTGGCAGCTGATTTAGTTGAGGCAGCAGTTGCTCACTGCCAGTTGATTGTTGTTTCCAAGTGAGTTTCCCTATAATGTCTGTTAAGAGTCTTAGGACGATGGCTTGTCTTTTATGGCGTTTGGTATGGGGGAAATAGAAGGGAGGGGAGGAAAAATTTTAATTTGTTCGACTTGAAAAATTGAAGAAATAAGGTTAAAAACTTTCAATTGAATTTTATTATTCTTTTATCTTATATCTTCTCTTTATTAAAATTTTAAAACCCCACTTTTTAAATTTTTTTAAGTTGAGCTCATTAAATTTTTTTCTTTTCTCCCCTCCCTTCTATTTCCCTCATATTGGAAAAAAAAAAAAATGATATTATTGAGCTGGTAATTTAAGATATCTGAGTTGTATACTTGAAGATAATGCTTCATTGAATATTTAGCACGTTATTTGACCAACCCTTTGATTTCAGATTTTTGGAGAAGTTGCAGCAAGATATACCTGGGAAGGGAGTGAAACAGCAATTACAAATTCTCTGTAGCATATATGCTTTGTTTCTTGTTCACAAGCATCTGGGCGATTTTCTCTCCACTGGCTGCATCACTTCCAAACAGGGTTCACTTGCCAACGAACAGCTGAGGTCCTTGTATTCCCAGGTTCGTCCTCAATAATCTCAAGCTGTTTTACTTCTTCAAGGATGCCACATCCTATAAGGTCTAGAATTGATTATATGACTGCTAACTTCGATTATATAATGTCTTAAGGTTCGCCCTAATGCAATTGCACTTGTGGATGCATTCAATTACACCGATCACTACCTGAGTTCGGCTCTGGGTCGTTATGACGGAAATGTGTATCCGACACTGTACGAGGAGGCGTGGAAGGATCCTCTGAATGATTCAGTCGTGCCAGACGGATTTCAGGAATATGTGCGACCAATGCTGAAGCAACAACTCCGGAATGCTAGACTTTAATGAAGAAATTTGAATTGGGATGTGTTCTGGAGACAACAACGGGCAAATGCCCTGATACGTGTCCCAAAAGCTGCCTTGATAAGAAAGGTGGTAGTAAATTCACTTTGGATGATGGAACATGCACGTTATTGTATTGCGGCGCACAGAAACGCATAACTTTATTTGAATCTGTTTTATATGCGAACCTATCCGCTTTGTCTCCTGCATTAAATATTTTTTATCAAAATATTCCTAATTAATTTTAAATATAAGAGTTAGTTTATAGTGTAATTGTAGTCTTTCAGTTCTTAATATAAGATCTATTTAACTAATTTGATTAGATTAAAAAAATGAGGTAATTTAGTTAATTAAAAAAATATGATATCTTTTTCTTAAAACACTATGAGGGAATATCCAGAGAGATAATTTAAAAAAATTAATAAATATAAAAAATAAATCTTATATTTATGATCAAAATTAATTTAATAATTAGGTTTTATATTAAGGATCAAAAGAGTTTTTTTCTTTTAAGATTCATTATTAGGTGAGACGTACCATCCCCTTAAATAGTAAAAGTAATAGTGAAAAAGTGAGACATTTTTAAAGTATTAGTAACACAAACAATTTAACTGTTTTTTAATTTTAATAAATTAGGTAAAAAGTTTTATATATTTAATAACGGGAAAAGGATGCCATTGTTGGCGGCCAATTTCTCTTATCTAAATAATATATTTAAAAATATGAAAAATTAGTTGAGTTAATTATTTGTAACAAGCATATATTTCCTTTTTTGTAATAAAGTCTATTGAAAGTATTTTTTTTGGAGAATCTTTTGCTGTTAATTTTTTTGGCTAGCAAGTTCTTTAGTATTAATAAGGAAATCAGAAAAAAATTATAAATTTGAGAGACAAAGTAGATTGAAATACTGCCTCTGGTCCTTAATATAAAAGCTAGTTCACTAATTTAATTATATTAAAGAAATTACTTAAGTTAGTTATTTGTAATAAATATTTGTTGTTTTCTTTAAAATATCCTTATCAATTGAGTGTATTAGCTAAAATCATCATTTAATGAAATATTTAACATATACAGCCATTATAAGGACTACTTTGAGAGAAATAGATAAATATGAGAGAAAAAAATATTAGAATATTATATTTAGAATCAAATCGAATATCAAACTAACTCTTATATTAAGAACTGGAGGTAGTACTATATTTATGATTAGATATAACTTATAACTATCTCTTATATATACCACTCCGTCGGCTTTTATTGTGGGACCTAATTGTGGAATTGATATTGATTTTAAATGTAAGACATATTTATCATATTTACTATTTTTTTAAATTACTCGTATTAATACCTCTTCAATAATAATCAAGCAAGATTGTGAGAAAGGAATAAGAATATTAAGAAAGATGATTAAAATATTTTTAAAAAAATCATATTATATCTATTATAATTAACTAATTTATTTAATTTTTATAATCTAATTAAATTAATTAAATAGGCTTCCGTTATTATTTACTGCGCTGAGTATTATTTCACCATCAATTCAAGCCATTGTATCTTAAAATCTCTTTTTTGGCTAACCAAGTAGTGTGGAATTCCTGAACAATACTACCCCGGTCCTACCCGCATTTCCATGATTAGGTACACGCGTCAAAAGTATTTGCCCCTGCGGGTAAGTGCTAACAATACCAGATGAGTGGAATTAATTTAATGCTTAGGCATTAAGGATGAATGTTATTTGACCAACAGAAAATATCCTCATCTTATCCAAATATACTACTCCTCCGTTCCTTAATATATGACCTAGTTATTAGATTGATTTTAATCTTAAATATATAATATTTTTCATATTTATTAATTTTTCTAAGTCATCTATATTAGTACCGGGAAAACGGGCCGGCCCGTCACGGGTTCGGGCTTAAACGGGCCGGCCCGTTTAAGTCCGAGTTGTAAAAATAAGTCGTTTTTTCAGGCCCGGCCCGTGAGATGACGGGCTCGGGCTAGCCCGCGGGCTTTTGGCCTTTTTAACTAAAATGAATTTTTTTTATTTTTTTGTATATTTTATCAAAATAATAAAAAGGAAACAATAAAAATTACTAATAAAAGGTATAAATATAAATAAATTGAGTCACAAATATAAACATATCATGTCTAAACATATATTACAGTGTAATAAAGTCTATTGAATAAACAAACTAAATAGAGGACAGACATAAACAACTAAATAAGCATTAAGTTCAGTAGATAATTACAATGCGGATGATCTAGTTTGATTATAAATAATTAACAAAAAATTTTAACTAACAAACATAGTATACATGAAGAATAATCATTTGTCATATCGACAAAAAAGAAAAGAGTCCATCATCCTTAGTTCTAAATTTGTTTCTACTATAAAAATGATATAGATCTTTATTTTAGTTTAAAAGATTTTTTGATCAATTATATTTCAAGTATAAAAAATATTGGAGAATGACAAATAAAGACTGTAAAAATTACACATACAGTATTTTAATAGGTTTTGACAATTTATTTAACAATATATTTTTGTGAATATACCTAGTTTTAAATTTTGCAATTTTCATATTTTTTGGGTATTTTTCGCACAACTATAGTGATTCTTTTTTTCTTTTTGTGAATGCTATCTATGTGAGTTGCCAAGATAAGTAAAACTAAGAGTATGATATGTTTAAAATGTTAGGATTTTCTTTTTTAAGTTAAGAAAAAAAGACAGAAATTTAAAAAAAAAATTGGCGGGCCTAAACGGGCCAGCCCGCGGCCCTACAGGGCCGGCCCGTTTATTTTTCGGCCCTACAGGGCTGATCCTTTTAAGCCCAACTTCCCTTTCAAAGCTCCAAAATACAAGCCCGGCCCTTGATTTAAACGGGCCGGCCCGACGGGCTCGGCCCGTTTTCCCGGCTCTAATCTATATAGATACTCTCTTAATGATAATCAAATAGAAAAGGAGGGAGGATATCAAGAAAAATAATTATGATGTTTTAAAAAAACATGTCGTATTTTTTCATAACTAGCTAACTTATCTAATCTAATCAAATTAGTTATATATGTTCTATATTAAAGACCGGATAAGCAACATCGTTTATTGTGAAAGCCTGTTGCTGGGTGTCCATCGGGCATTCACTTCACATTTTTACACTCATTCCTTTCAAGTTATATATAATCACAAAACCTTAACGTGATATCTAATTACTCGCATAAGAAAATAAGCCCTGGCGTGAAATTCCTTCAAAAATTCTTCTGTCCGCCATACCAAACGCTAGTTAATTTTTTGAAAAATAAAAATCAGCACCAATTTGGACGTGTGCCAGGGGGTTTCACCGCAAAATTCCGGTTTTGGCTTCTGGATGACGTAAACGCGTATCCGGCATTCTTATTTTCTGTTGGCCCCATTCGCATGAGAATAAGTTAGAATATGAATAGAATAGATAAAAACTAGTACGAGTATCTTTTAATGTTCACTCTAGAGCATGAAAATTAATATTCATAACCAATGATGAATCCAGCGCACATAATTAAATTTTAAAATGAAAAATATCCTTGCGTCTCGACCTTTCCTCCGGTCTCCATTTTCCATGAAGCCAACGGAATCGTTCGGGTCCCTTTCGAGCTTTCCGTAAGTGAAACGAGGCGCTTTCTGTAGGCCCCACTTCCCCAGCGGAGCTCTAGCGTGTCGCCACGTATCCAACTTCCTTCCCTCCCTCCCCCTTAAAAGGGCGCCATTTGCCTCTTCACTCGTTTGAAAATCTTTTCCAATCCATCTGAGGCTAAAACCCCTCTCATTCTTCTCTTCATCGTTTTCATCTTAAAACCCTAATTCCTCTGAAATCTGCATCTCTCACTTCTTCGTCACTATGCTTCCTCACTCGTATGCTATGGATTCTCTCTCCAAATCCCAGGACATTGCTTCCGCCATTATCGCTGCTGCCTCTCCTTCTCAAATACTCTCCGCCTGCGCCTCCATCGATTGTTTCCTCCAGTCTCACTCACCCGACCAATCTCGCCATTTTTTCTCTATCGCCTTCCCAACCCTAATTTGCAAGCTCTTCGGCTTCGACGACTCCAATTCCTGCCCTCGACCTCCTAATTCATCCAATGGTTGGATCGATACCGTCACTGCCTCCAACGATTCCGATTTAGCCAATCGGATATTCTCTCTTCTCTCTCCCGATGGTACTCTCCTCAACTCTATCTTTGCCGTCGATCGCCTCTCCCTCGTTAAGTACGTCTTCCCTGCCGAACGGCTACCGGAGTGGTCCCGTTTCCTGCTGTCCAGCGACAAGGATTCCAGTGTCTTATCGGATTTGTGTCCCTTATTTAGAGGTAAAGTGAAACCAGACTCCGTCAAGGGTTCTTCCCATCAAATCCAGCTTAATGTTTTCGAGTATTACTTCTTGTGGTTTGCTTATTATCCGGTTTGTAAGGGCAATAATGAGATTTCGGATCATGTTTCGGTGAAGAGAGCTCGAAGGTTTAGGTTAGAGAATTGGACTTCGTCTATTCCGGGTTTTTCCAACCCTAAGCGCGGGGTTGAACATAAAACGGAGTGTAACCTGTACTTACGGCTTCTCTATGCTTATCTGCGTGCATTTGTGCCTACATATGATCTAAATGCACACCAACCATATCGCAGTTCACTTCTTCATTATCCTTCGGGTTGTGACGGTACACTTATGATGCGAGCGGAGTTTTTGGTGGATACTTTCGTACATTTTTGGTTGGTGGATAATGATTTTTCTCCCCTGCCTGTGAATTTGTGCAAGTCTTTTGGAGTATCGTTTCCATTTCGTTCAGTCTTAGGAGAGACACCTCCAACGCCAGGGTTGGGGGAGGTGGTTAAATTGTTTGTGAGGTACTTGAATTGCAGTACTTTTGCAGCCCTTGAAGGTCATGAGAATGTTGATTATTGTGGGAGTCCTAGATTGGGGTCTATCGGTTCATTGGATACCATGAAGTCAAAGGATGTAACATCTAAGTTCCCTTCTGTGCGTTCTCTTGGATATTGGAACCCAAGGATGCAGAGACCTCTGTACCGGTTTTTGTTGAGGACGTTTTTGTTTTGCCCCGTGGCAACTTCCATTAAGAATGCATCTCAGGTATTTCATATTTGGATTAATTACATGGAACCTTGGGCAATAATCTCGGATGATTTTTCTGAACTTGATGCAATTACCACTGGATCTGCTACAAATGAAAGGAAGGAGAACACTCTGTCTAGAGCTGGTGTATATACACCTCAGTGGCAGGATTATGTTCTATCGAACTACTTATACTATAGTTCCTTGGTTATGCATTTTATTGGATTTGCTCACAGGTTCCTTCACAGTGATGTTGAGATAATAGTCCAGATGGTGCTTAAGGTGTGCTTCTTTATCACAATCATAATATTTTTCTCTATATTCATATTATTTGCAATCATTGGGAACCAAAGGTATTTCCTTTTCTTTTCTGTTATGTCCCCCCCCGGGGGCGGGGGATGTTCAAGTTTTTTGGGATTTCTTATATGGTTTACCTTAACGCTTGTCATGGACTACTTTTTGTCTTGCACGAGTCAGTGTCACTGTCAACTGTCAACTATTTCTCAAAATCTACTTCATTTTATGGGTCATATCCTTGGATTTCTTCCAAAAGGTTTGGAAGTTACCATCTGAATATTCTTCAATTCGTTTTAGAAGTTTTCAAGACCAATGGCTTTAAAAGGGAACATTGGGCATTGCTTCATTAGCCGGTGATTTTCTAATCATGAAGAGTGTTGGGGCAAAAATGAGGAATGCTATTATGTCTTTATAGTGTCTACTGAGTATGATGATTTTTTCCCCCCCCGGTTTTGCATTGGCATATCGAGGGGAATTCAAATCGTATCAAATTTATGTTTAACGCTTTATGATGTGTTGTTTTTTTTTTTTTTTTTAAAATAAAATCTGATGGGACTTGCTATTATGTCTTAAGCTCTTGTCATTGTGAGTCTTGAGGCTTGATTCTCTCTTAAGTTATTGTCATACCATTTGTTCTTTTTAGTTCTGATTTTTCATTCTTGCGTGAGAAAAATTAACTTTTTAATATGTTTTATCAGGTGTTAGACACCTTGACATCATCAAAAGAGCTTATTGACCTTTTAAAGAACGTGGATACCCTTTTCCATTCCAGACAGTCTGGATCAATCAAATCAATGCCAAGTAATTTGTACAGATATATTCCAGTCATATGCGAACAGCTGCAGGCAAGTTTTTTTTTTCCCCCCCTCTCTTGATTAAGTGTCTTTAGTAGCATTTATCTTTCAATTTACTGTTTATTGTCTTGAGTATCTCCAATTGTGTTATCTACTCTTCAGGTTTATTCTGTTTCATTTGGTTAGGTACAATTTCTTCTTCGTTTTTCCGGGGCATAAGTTAAAAGTTAACATGGTTTTGAATCTCAGCGCTACATGATCAGTTTTGGACTTAGTCCATTGTGAGTTTGGGTGTGTTAGTAGATGCTTCTGTTATTAATAAGGATGAGCCTTGAGCTTATCTTTGACACTGGTTATTTTTTAGGATTGGGAGGATGGCTTATGTGAGACTGATGCTGATGGCTCATTCTTGCATGAAAATTGGAACAAAGATTTGCGACTATTTGCTGATGGAGAGGATGGTGGGCAGCAGCTGCTTCAGGTTCATTATTATCCTGTGCCTGCATAAATTTATCTTTCCTCCTCCAGTGATCATAACATACATGGCTTATGTTTCTCATTTTGGTGTTTGCCATTGCAGTTGTTTATATTGCGTGCAGAAGCTGAGTTGCAAGCAATGTCTGGTGATAATCTCGTGCCCAGCCTCCAATGCATAGACTCATTAAAAGCAAGGCTGGGGTTCATATTTGAGGGGCAAATTATCAAGTCACCTTCAACCGCGCCGGAACCAAGGCAGCATCAGCAATCTCATGATGAGATATTCAAGCCAAGAAGAGCCGGCAAACACTCATTTACCGATTTTCAATACAAGGGTGACTGGATGAAACGCCCCATATCCAACGATGAGATTGCGTGGCTCGCAAAACTGCTCGTTCGGGTGTCTGCATGGTTGAACGAAAGTCTTGGACTGAACCAAGCAGTGAGCAGTCAAGTGGATTCTAAATGGTCATATGTGGAGGTGACAACTGATGTCGCCCGTGTCTGTGGGCCTTCCGAGGCCCTGAAGGTGTTTTTCTGTGCTGTTGGTTCTTGGCTTCTCTTTCTGGGGGCCGCCTCTCTTGGACTAATGAGAAAATGCGGTCTAAGAGTAAACCTAAGGATTCTGGCCTCAAAGAAGGTCGTGATGGTTTTGATCCTGTATGTTGCTTTTAGCATCTCAAAGAAACTTGTTCGAGCGTCCTAAAAATCAAAACTGGTAGGGATAAAGGCATATCGAATATACAGCTAGTGTATAGAGGAGTGTAGAAAATTTGGAGAGAATGTTTTTGTTCAAGAATTTTGTGTATAATATGTTTCTGCCTTTGTAATTTACAAGCCAGGTCATCAATACGAAAATGTTTGAATTAAAAAAAAAAACGAAAATGGTTTCCAGCGTTGTGCAATTAGATCTGCAATGCAGTGGCATGATATCCTAGATTATTTCACACCTGTCACTATATATGCGCCTCATAAACCGTAAAATTAGTCAGCATTTGTATGATTGGCGTGGTAGAAGTTAAAAAAACTTTCAAATACTGTATCCTATTATTTTATTTTATTTTTTGTTACAAAAATTTTAGGTAAGGATTTGGGTTTAACCTAAGTCAAGGGTATGACGCTTAAATGACTCTTCTAAGGTGATATTAGTGTTGAGCAGGACAATTTTATATTATACTTTCAGACATTAATCTAGACACACTCATTCTAGGATCCTTCTCTAAACACTATGGTGGGAAATCAAACCTTTTTTTTAGGCGAAAAGGTGTAGTTTCTACCACTAAACCCACAGAGGGTTATTATTTTATAACTATATAATTTATTAAAAAAGTCACCTTAAAATTTTCATTTAAACAACGTTTATTTCACGGTGAACGATTAGAAATTATAAACTGTTTTTACTGGTCATGACTTTTGAGGTGCCTTTACATGAAAAACGGAAAAAAAACAGTATTGTTTAATTAATTATATATTTTGATTAAAAAATATAGAGGATCTAAACTCAAATATCTTAATTTTTTCCTTTAAAAAAACTAGCAAAAGTAGTCTTGTGGCTTTTTTACTGTCCAATATTATATGATAATCATATAATTTTGAAGTTATAGGTATCATTTTTGTAATTTTATAGTGTAACATGACATCATATAATTATACTTCAAAATTTTTAACACTTATCATTAAAATGATAAAATCAATGCAGTTGTTACCAAAACTTTTATGATTTTATTTTACCCCAAAAGCAATCCTAATCAGGGCCAAAAAAAAAAAAAAGAAGTAAACCCAGTTCGACGCCGTTTTCTGTGTGTAATGTAAAAGAATCTAGCAAATTGTGTTGACTTGCTGGGAATGAGATATTCATTATTATATTATACGGCAATGGTCTTATTGTGCTCCCTCTGTTGCTGGTAAAAAAAAAAAAAATCGTCCTCTAACTGTTTGCGTTTCGTACATTGAGCTTGTGGGTTGTGAGGATTAATTTTGGGCCATTTTGACCCATGATCTTTGTGGAGATTTGACCCACAAACAAAGCCCAAATTTGTCAACTAGGGCTATCCACCCGGAGATCCGGCCCCATAGAAGGGACAAACCCTTCTTTTTCTGGTTTCTTCTCTGCTGGTCTCCCATATCGATTCCCTTCTGTGTATGGTCATTAGACGCCTCCATCTCAGGTGAATCCCTTCCTCAATCTGTCCTTAGTTTTGGAACATGAATGATACGTAGGTGAAATAATTCTTCAGGTAAAGCTATGATTTTCTTCACTTGATCTTAGTCACCAACTGACTGCGGCCACCATCTACTTCGCAAAAGGGTGGATCTAACTATGTTTGGTATGTGGGGTTGTTTATTGAAGTGACGTATTTTTCACACGCGTGCTTTTTTTACAACGCTAAAAGGTGAGTGGGAAGTTTTTGCTGCAGCAACTGTAAAGCTGAGGTTCGAATGGTGAGGAGGAATTGCATGGAAATGGTTTTTTGGTTCGTAAAGGGAAGCGAATTCCCGGTCAAAGTAATATCATATATGCAGGAAATTCCTCGGTGGATATCATTTAAAAAAAAAAAAAGATCAACGGTGACTGAGGTGTCAATGATAGTGCTGGCCTTATTTGTGGTATCAATATGATATGAGACTATTTTGTTCTTGCTATTTTAGTAAGTTGATGATTTTCCGAGCTTGGCGGGAATTCAATATGTTCTGTTGAGGCATTTAATTTGTTCATGATTTAACTCGACGTTCATGCAATCTTGGATAGCTTTTCTTTGCGTATAAATGCTAAACAAATACATTCATCTTCAGTATCAGAAAAGAGTTGTCAAATCTGTATCCTAGAACAAGTAATAGTGGGGATGAGTGCGGTAGAACTATCTATCTTGTTTGTGCATATTGAATTTTCGTGAATTAGATGCGAAAGTTTCTCCACTGTCAATAATAATATTTCTTTCAAAGTATGCGTTAATTCTTTCTCCTGATTTTATATATAGTTGGATTTGGCATTTTGGATCTGAATTCTATAGGTCATTTTGATATCAAGTACTCTTTTTGAGCTATAATTATTGTGGCATGATTGTTTTGCTGCAGTTGCCGTCAGATTCCTAGTATGGCGACTGAAAGTGGTAGAAGTTTTGCAAGGAGGGACAGGTTGCGAGAGATTGAGGTCAAGGTTCGAAAATGGTGGGATGAAAAGGATGTTTTCAAGGCCGAACCTTGTGAGAAGCTTCCTGAGCCTGGCGAAAAATTCTTCGCAACTTTCCCTTTCCTTACATGAATGGATACTTACATCTTGGGCATGCATTCTCACTTTCAAATTGGAGTTTGCGGCAGCTTATCATAGATTGAGAGGTGCCAATGTGTTGCTGCCATTTGCTTTCCATTGCACTGGTATGCCCATCAAGGCCTCAGCTGATAAACTTGCAAGAGAGATTCAGCAATTTGGAAATCCACCTGTCTTTCCTAGTGAAGTAGAGGAACAAGAAGATGAGCCTTCAAAGAATGCGGATAACAGTGGAGGGGCAGTTCCAGGTAAATTTAAAGGGAAGAAGTCCAAGGTTGCTTCAAAATCAACTGGACAGGCCTTTCAGTGGGAAATTATGCGTAGCTTTGGCATATCTGATAGTGAGATATCTCAATTCCAGGATTCTTATAAATGGTTGTCCTACTTTCCTCCACTGGCTGTCGAGGACCTTAAGGCATTTGGGCTGGGTTGCGACTGGAGGAGGTCCTTCATCACAACAGATATGAACCCATATTTCGACTCCTTTGTTAGATGGCAGATGAGGAAGTTGAAGTCCATGGGCAAGGTTGTCAAAGACATTAGATATACAATATTTTCTCCCTTGGATGGCCAGCCATGTGCAGATCATGATAGAGCTAGTGGTGAAGGGGTTCAGCCCCAAGAGTACACTATCATAAAGATGGAGGTCCTTCAACCTTTTCCCACTAAGTTTGGAGTGCTGGAGGGAAGAAAAGTATATTTGGCTGCTGCGACATTGAGGCCTGAGACTATGTATGGCCAAACTAATGCATGGGTTTTGCCTGATGGAAATTATGGAGCCTTTGAAGTCAATGAAACTGATGTGTTTATTCTCTCAAAAGAGCAGCGCTTAATCTTGCCTATCAGAATCACTCACGAGTCCCTGAGAAACCCACTTGCTTGCTTGACCTGACTGGTTATGACTTGATTGGCTTGCCATTGAAGTCTCCTCTTTCATTGAACGAGGTCATTTATGCTCTTCCAATGTTGTCAATTTTAATGGATAAAGGTACTGGGATAGTTACTAGTGTGCCTAGTGATGCCCCTGATGACTACATGGCCTTGCATGACTTGAAGTCAAAACCAGCATTCAGAGCAAAGTATGGTGTCAAGGATGAATGGGTATTGCCCTTTGAAATAGTCCCTATTATTGAAGTTCCACAGTTTGGAAATAAGTCTGCAGAGACAGTTTGCTTGCAGATGAAAATAAAAAGTCAGAATGAGAAAGAAAAACTTGCAGAAGCCAAGAAGCAAACATACCTGAAAGGATTCACTGAAGGAACAATGATTGTTGGAGAGTTTTCAGGAAAGAAAGTTCAGGAAGCCAAACCATTGATTAGAACTAAACTTTTAGAGACAGGTCAGGCTATTGTTTACAGTGAACCAGAGAAGCAGGTGATATCACGATCTGGTGATGAATGTGTTGTAGCTCTTACAGATCAATGGTACATTACATATGGAGAAACGGAATGGAAGAAGCTAGCTGAGGAGTGCCTGTCAAGTATGAATCTTTATTCTGATGAGACACGACATGGCTTTGAGCATACTTTGGACTGGCTAAATCAGTGGGCTTGCTCACGATCGTTTGGTCTGGGGACACGCATACCATGGGATGAACAATACCTGGTTGAGTCTCTATCTGATTCCACTCTTTATATGGCTTACTACACTGTCGCTCATATTTTACAGAATGGAGACATGTATGGATCAGGTTCGTCTCCTGTTAAACCTGAACAAATGACTGATGAGGTTTGGGATTATATATTCTGTGGTGGACCGTACCCTAAATCAACTTATATCTCTTCATCTATTCTCCACAAAATGAAACTTGAGTTTGACTATTGGTATCCCTTTGATCTCCGGGTTTCTGGTAAGGACCTGATCCAGAATCATCTTACGTTCTGCATTTACAATCATACTGCAATTCTGCCCAAGCATCACTGGCCTCGTGGATTTAGATGCAATGGCCACATCATGCTCAATTCGGAGAAGATGTCTAAATCTACTGGAAATTTCAGGACTTTGCGTCAGGCAATTGAGGAGTTTTCTGCTGATGCTACGCGATTCTCTTTGGCTGATGCTGGTGATGGTGTTGATGATGCAAATTTTGTGTTTGAGACTGCAAATGCTGCAATTCTCAGGCTTACCAAAGAGCTTGCATGGTATGAAGATGTTTTAGCCTCTGAATCATCAATGAGAGCTGGCCCTCCATCTACTTATGCTGATCGTGTGTTTGCCAATGAAATAAATATTGCTGTCAAAACAACTGAGCAGCATTATAGGAATTACATGTTCCGAGAAGCTCTCAAGACTGGCTTTTATGACCTTCAGACTGCCAGGGATGAGTATAGATACTCATGTGGAGTTGGAGGCTATAATCGTGAACTAGTGCAGCGCTTTATGGACGTTCAAACACGTCTTATAGCACCAATATGTCCACATTATGCTGAATATGTTTGGAGAGAGCTTTTGAAGAAGGATGGTTTTGTAGTGAATGCGGGTTGGCCTACTGGGGATGCTCCGGATCTAACCCTAAAGAGTGCCAATAAATATTTGCAGGACTCAATTGTTTTGTTGAGGAAGTTGCTTCAAAAGCAACTTTTTGGTTCAAAGAAGGCCAATAAAGCAGGTG